TACTTTTCTCATTGCTGAGACAAAAATTAGCCAAAGTACAAAAGAGGAAAGGTTTATTGTAGTTCAGTTTGTAGAGGTTTCAGTTCATAGTTGGCTTGCTCTCAGGCAGGATGAGATGGCAGAGGAACATAACAGATGAGAAAGAGTGCATGGCATACAGAAGGCAGCAGGCAGGGAGGCAACAAGCAGCAGAGTTCAAAAGCAGCAGCAGCAGCAGCAGCAGCAGCAGCAGCAGCAGCAGCAGCAGCAGCAGCAGCAGCACTAGCAGCAGCAGCAGCACTAGCAGCAGCCTAGCTTTCCTTTTATCCCTTCCAGGATACTCACCCTTTGAGTGGTGCCATATACATACCTAGGTTGTACCTTCCTATTATCCACATCCAGAACTATACTAAACCCATGGGTGAACTAATGTGGCAATCACACATTTTTATTTTATTTTTTTAATCTTTTATTTTAATTTTTTCCATAATTTTATTGAGAAACAAATAGCAGTGAGACGGTTTCAAATCAAATTGATAGGACAGTTCCAATAATGAACACATTGCATACTGCCTTCCTAGTGGTTGTTTGTTGTGCAAGATGCAGACATGATATCCTATTTACAAACACTATTAGAACAAATCCCTCTGTTCCTTGAATTAAGAGAATGTAGCTATATATCTATCTTAACCATTTTGAATATACAGATACAAAATGGTCATTCATCTGTATCCCCCTTTTTTGTTTAGTTCTGTCACTTAAATGTTATAGGTGTGTGAACTCAGCAAAATATTCCAAAATAGTCCAGTAGTCCATAATAGTATTGGGTCTTCTACTTGACTGGCAATGTCAGAAGCTGTTGACCTGAGTCCCCTACAGCTCAACATAACAACATGGATTTACTTCTTATACTTCGTTTTTGTACTTTTCTGCTAGATGGTTAAGACCAAGATAACGCAAGACCTATGTAACAAGAGTTGTAGCTTTTGGATCTCATAAGGTCAGTCAAATCCTCTCAGGACTTATCCTGAGACCCTGTATCTCAGATTATAGATCCTTTGTCAGTGTCAGCCATGTAGACGAGTCACGGCCATTGCATGGCCAATTTGCTCTCCATGAAAGACTGAGAGAATGTTTTCTCTTTGTGTGACTCTCCTTAGGCACACTCTACATCATCAATCACTTTCCTCTTTGGCCTCATAATCTCCTTGGTCAGAAAATTTGGGACACAACTGAGTTACATGATGTTACAGTACAAGTTCTCATATGCCCTGAGTCTTAATTGACCTTGGAAGGCTAGGGCCAAAATTTTGGTTTTCCTTGTGGCCCTCCTTTTTCTCTGATTTTTGGTCCGCTTATTTTGGTTGTTAAACCTTTCAGAAGAGAAGCTTATTGTTATTACCATACAACCTAGGCTGTTGAGCTTAACCTCATTATCTGTCTATATTAGCATCTTAGGCATAACATGGAACAGGTATTTTTCACCAAATATTGGTACGTTAAACTTTAAGTCCCTACAGAATATGATAAAAAAATTTAAAAAATTAAAATATATTTTAAAAATAGAAATAAAGAGTTATATATGTTTACACATTTAAGTCCAAAAATCTAACCATATACAGCATAGCAGCAGGACAGTCCTACAACACTCCTTTTCCTGTCTCCTGCCTTCATTCACCACCCCCTTCCTTTTTAAACAATCATCTACCTGAGAGACAGCACGGCAACAACTGGCATGTCATGAGAAGCACCACATATTCAGAAGACCAGAATGACAGGCACTCCAAGCATGAACCTACTATTACAAATTGCCATTTCAGTGCAGTTGCTTAGTTCACAGGTGTCAGTATATATAGTTATTCAGGGTGAGAATCCTTCCAATGAACTGCTAGATTCAAAAATCTTCTGAAGATTCTCAGGATCATTGCCTTACCCATCTTGTACATATAACTGTATGGCTTGCCTCTGTCATGTTTCCTAGCTCTTCTCCTTGCTCTCTCTTCATTGTCTAGTCCTCAAATTCTTGCTTTCCTTTTAGTTGTATTATACCTCTCTATTTGTATTTCTTCTTTTGAGTTCTTATACTAGGGAAACTATACAATATTTACACATGTGGGTCTGGTTTACTTTACTTATGAGTATATCTTCAAGTGGCATCCACTTAAATGTAAAGGCTTCGAGTTTATCATTCTTTATAGCTGAGTAATACTCCATTGTATAAAAATACCACATCTTTTTCATCCATTCCTCAGGTGATGGGCATCTTGCTTGTTTCCAAGATTTGGCTATCACAAATTGTGCTGCTTTAAACATAGGTACAGATATATCACTATGATATTATGTTTTCAGATCCTCTGGGAAAATTGCCAGTAGGGGAATAGCTGGTTTGAATGGGATGTTCAGTCCTAGTTTTCTGAGGAGTCTCCACACTGATTTCCATAATGGTTGCACCAGTCTACATTCCCACCAGCAGTGGAGAAGGGTTCCTTTTTCCCCACAGCCTCTCCACCATTTGTTGTTGGTTGATTTTTTTATGATAGACATTCTTTATAGGGTGAAATGATATCTCAATGTTGTTTTAATTTGCATTTCACGGATGGCTAGTGATGTGGAGCATTTTTTCATATATTTATTTGCTTCTTTAATTTCATCCTCTGAGAAGTATGTGTTCATCTTGGATGCCCTTTTCTGGACTGGGTCTTTAAATATTGGGACCCTAGTATTTTTTAGTTCTTTATAAATTCTAGAGAGCAGACCTTTGTCTGAGTACTTATTTGTCATGATTTTTTCCAAATTTTTGGGTTGTCTTTCTTTTTTTTTTCTCTGAATGCCTTCAGGGCAGGTTTGCCTGGCTTGAGTTGTGCGGATTGAACCACAGCAACCTGAGCCTGACTGCTTTGTTGAAGCAGCTACTTAAAGAATTGAGCTAAGGGGCAGGCCCCCTGTGGGTTGTCTTTTCACTTTGTTGGTAATTTCTTTTGATGTGCAAAAACTTCTCAGTAAGAGCAGGTCCCAGTTGTTAATTCTTTCAAGTGTTTCCCATACGATTTGATTTTTTTCATGAACTCTTTGCCTACTCTTATATCTTCAAGGGTTCCTCCTATTTTCTCTTCCAGGAGATTTAGTGTTTCTGTTTTAATGTTTAGATCTTTAATCCATTTTGACTTTAGCTTAATGCATGGTGATAGACCTGGGTTAAGTTTTAGTTTTCAGCATGTAGAGAGCCAGTTTTTACAGCACTATTTGTTAAAGAGGCTATCTTTCTTCCAGTGAGTATGTTTGGCTCCTTTGTCAAAGATAAGGTGGCTGAATGTGTTTGTAGAGTCTTCAGCATCTTCTAATCCATTCCATTGATCCTTAGGACACACATTTTTAAAATGTATTTACTGCAGGGTCTACAGGGTCTCACTACACAGATTGGACCCATAGTGACCCTCCTATTTTCAGCCTCCCAATCACTGGGATTACAGGTGCACACCACCATGCCTAGCCTCAGTTGCCATCTCAGTATGCCCCAGGGGACAGAGAGAACCCCAGTCCCTTTGCCTGCCTAAGCAGGTGCTTTAGTTCTCTGAGCTATCTGGCTGGCCCTGTAATCACACATTCTTTTTTTTTTCCCCCCACTACCGGGGATTTCACACATTCTTAATCCCAGCATTAGACACTTAACTTCAGCACCATTCACTCCAGATCCAGCCACTTCTAAAAAGCCCCATCTTTGACTATGTGAGGCTTTGTGGGGACATCTAGACATAAGCCATAACAACTGATTTTCATAAATGAATTAGGAAGCATATCCTGTCAATTTCTTAGGAGAGCTTGAGGAGTATTGGTGATATAACATCCTCAAAGGTTTTGTGGAATTCAGCAGTGAATCCATCAGATCTTGGGCTTTTTTTTTTGCTAGTACATTCTTTACTATGTCAATTTTCTTGTTTGTTATTGGGTTGTTATGCATATTTATGTATTTTGGGGGTTAGTTGTAATAGTTTTATGGGTCTAGGATTCTGTCAATTTCTTCAAAATTTGCTTTTTTTGGGAATACAATTATTTGAAGTGTATTATTTTTACTATCTCCTGGATTTCCAGAGTCTGTTTTTATTTTACCTTTTTCATTTTTAACTGCATTGATGTGAATCCTGCCTCTGTGTCTCTTGATGAGCCTGGCAATGGGCTTACCTATTATATTTATTCTTTCAAAGTATTAGCTCTTCAGTTCATTGATTATTTTACTGTTATTTTTAGTCTTAATTTCATTAATTTCCACTCCTATCTGTATAATTTCATTAATTTCAGTTTGGGGCGGATTTATTTTTGTTTCTCAATTATTTTAAGCTTTCTCATAAAGTTGCATATTTGTGCATGCTCTGTTTTCTTCATGTGACCTTGACAGTGATGACTATTCCTTATAGGACTATTTTCATGTGTTCCAGAGATTTCATTGAGTTGCACCACCACTGTCATTAACCTCTAGAAATTTAAAAATTTCTTCTGTGAAACATTGATTAAGTATTATTTTTTCTAGGAGCTTGGCCTTTTCCAAAATTTCTTCCTTCTTTGATTCCTATTTTCATTGCACAGTGGTCTGATGGTTTGCATGGGGTGATTGCATTTCTTTTATATTTACTTAAGCAGGTTTTGTGCACTTATATGTGATCTATTTTGGAAAAGGCACTCTGTACTGCTAAAAAGAATGCATACTCTGTTGTAGAGCCTTGGAATACTCTATATTAAGTCCCTACGTTGAAGGATGTGGGGCAGTTCTGATATTTCTTTATTGATTTTTTTATTTAGTTGACAAATCTCTTTGCAAAAGTGGCATGTTAACATCCTCTCCTGTGATTGTGCTAGTGTTTATTTGATCTTTTAATTGCAGTTGTCTTGTTTTATGGAGTTGGTGCTCCAGCGCTCAGCACATTTGTGCAGTGTGTGAGATCTACAGTGTTTTACTTCAGGTATTTCTGTTTGGTATCTTTTCCAGGCTTCCATATTCTTATTGAATCTGTCACTCAGAGTTTGAAAAAAATAAGAAACACTTCACAAATTTGCATGTCATCCTTAAGCAGGGACAGTGCTGATTCTCTGTACGGTTCCAACTTTAGCATATGTACTGCTGAAATGAATGCTTTTTATTTGCTCACTTTTGGCCAACAGAAGCCCCCTTCAAGTTTGGTCTCTGGTCCTATGGAGGTGTCCTCATTTTGTCTTTGAGTGCTGTTTTCATCATATCATAAAAATATGTTCCAGACCCTTTTTTTTTAATCCTTCTGGTCCCTGAATAGAAATTAGACTTTTTCTGCTGAGCCTGTCCAGCTCTCAGTTGGCTGCCTCCCTGCTGCCAACCCCTGGCCTCCAGCCGCCTTGTGTCCCTGGAGGGGGACCCTGCCAACGTGCTTCCATTGGCCAGCTGGCATGAATGAACCTTGTGAGCGTTGTCAGCAGAGGGCACTGGAGCCACACTACAGGAGCCCTTCAACCTGCTTGGCTCCCACTTGTTCCTAAGTCAAGATTGCCTGCCTTTCACCCACACCCGGTGGATTTTGTGTTTGCCACTCACTTTCTGGCTTGTTTCCTGCTCGGCAGTTCCACCCATGGTTCCCTGCTTGTCAGCCTGATTGCTAACTTCAACCCACTGACCCAGAGTAACACAGCAAACTCCTCTGCCCTACGCTGGGCTGCAGCTGCACCCTTTCTGTGAAGCAAGAACCTGAGTTTTGAGAAGAGGACACTTCTATACAAACTATTTCTTGTTTGGATAATTTGAAACCTATGGTATCATCAGAACTGTCTTTTATCCTCTCTCGTTCATCCCATTTCTAGCTGATGATGCTTTACATTGAAGTTTTCCGGCTCAGTTGCTGGTGTGTTCTCTGTCTTCTTAATGAACTCATTTGGATGGAGAAGTGGTTCAGGGATGGTGTTTGAATAATGATACCACAATTCAAAGATGAGATTTTACGTTTAACATAGTCACGTCCTTGGATTTGAACACAGTGCGGAGCTGCTGGCCAGAGGAAAATGGGATGCCTGTATTCTATGGCACGTGGGGACAACACACTTAACCTATCACCTGGAGGCTGGGCCTGCAAAAAATTTAAACAGACTAAGTGCCTATTTAGGCAAGTGCAGGGACAAGCCTGGCACCACATGCCTCACCCCCCCCCCCCAGGCACAATGAGCTGGTCACCGAGACCAGGAGTGGTGGCACATGCCTGTAATCCCAGTGCTGGGAAGGCTGAAAGCAGAGCTGCATAGTGAGACCCTGTACCAAAATACATTATAAAATTTTTTTTTAAAAACCCATCACCTGAGACTGACTGTGAAGACGTGCCACCTGAAGCAGGGTATTGGGAGCTCAGGGGCCACTGCATTTGACCAATGGTGTCTGCAGGGTCGGTGGTGGGGACCAGCTCTCCTAGTCAGAAGAGTCTTCTTGATATCTGGATTGCTACGTAACTCACACACGTGTTGGTCTAATGCTTTGGTAGTTTCCTTTTAAATTTAGATCTGTGGTCCATTTAGAAGTTTCCTTTTAAATTTAGATCTGTGGTCCATCTCCCAAAGATCCTCTTGCTTCAGACTCCTGAGTGCTGGATTACAGGCATGTATCACCATACCTGGATTATCATTAGTTTTTAATTTCTTTATGGTACTAAAATAGTGGAGTTGGAGGACATTCCTGCTCATGTTTGATCTTAACGGGAATGTTTCTAAATGTCTGTCCATTAAGTATGGGGCTGATTTGGGGACCAAAGCATAAAATATTTCACCATGTCAAGGAAGTATCCCCATTCTTTCTCATTTTATAAAATTAGGAAGAAGGTAGACATTCATCATAGGCCATAATTTCCACACAAGATTCCTGATTTACTGAGGTTTGACTTATTCCTTTTCCACTCTACGAAGACATGAAGATGATACCGAGTGTGATGGAGCTTCTGGTGTATACTTTGATCTCTTGCCATGATGGCCATGGGCAGTTCCATGCTCTCTTCTGAAGCTGGGCAGTGCAGAAGCCACAGCAGCTAGTCGGCCACATGCAGTGAGCCACGTGGCCAGAAGGGAGCAGCTGACTCTGCCCTGTGCTGTGGTGCTAAGCTGTGATACTTGGCATTAGGTATATTGAATGCATTTGGCCTAATAATGTTTTCAGCGATTAAGGGATGTGTGTACTGCATTTTCCAAGAAAATTCTCTAAATTTTCTAGATTTTTCATTTAATTTGGATAGAACGGTGACAAGTAGTCATTATTAGCCTTTAATATGTCCCAAGTTTCACCAGCAATTTCCTTATTTTTATTTCATGATTTATAAAAGAAACCCTTCAACCCTTTTTCTTTATTAGATTGGTTAGTGGTTTATTTTATTGTTCATAAAATAAATTTTCCATTTTATTTTTCTGTACTTTGTAGTTCTTTCCTAATTTTTAAGATATAAATTCAATTCATTTACTCTCATCCTTTTACTTGTTTTGTTGTTGCAGAAATTTGAGGTTATAAATTTTCCTTATACTCTTAAGTTTTCCCAAGGGAAAATAGAATTCTAAAGTTTGTAAAAGGAGTATCTAGAAAGAGCAGACTACAAGAGAAAGGATTGAAGATTGTTCAACTTAAATTTTCCAGAACATTTAGATTTACTCCAGTATTTTGTCACCTGAGGCATTTACATTTTTTTTTTTATTATAAAAGAACAACTTGTTTCATATCTGAGAGTGATCAGAACCGTTCCTGGGAAACTCTACCCAAGTCCTCACCAAAGGCAGGAAACTGGTAAGTTTACTGAACAAGATAATGGGCAGTGATGAGAAACAATAAAATGAATTTGTGATTGCATCTAGGTTTTCACTGGTTTTTGTAATAGTTGTGTTAAAAGTTAGAAAAAAGCATTCCTCTGGGGAATCCCGAGTTGCTAGAGGGATGTAGCCAAATACTAACTGCCACTTAACCCTCGTTTCATCCACAGAGAACTGCTCAGCCAGAAAATGAACCCTGGGTCCTGAGCCACGACCTGCTCTCTCCTAAGTCCAGCCTCTTATTATAACAGCAACACTTTGCTCATTGCAACACAGCCAAGGTGCTCTAGGGAAGTTCTTCTAAAGGGAATGAAGTACCTGGCACCCATAACCTAAGGGAGCAGGGCTGTTCTGGCCCACAGGCTCACAAGTCTCAGTCCACGTCCACAGGCAGGGAGTGGCAGAGGCAGGCTGCTCACAGGAGGATGGACAGGAAGTGGGGGATGTAATCATCCAGGCCACTCCTTCCCTCCAGCCAGCCCCACCTCCCAGCAGCACAGTCAGCTCTGCATGGATCTCTGGATTAATCCACTGATGAGCACACTGCCCCATGACCCAGTCACCTTGCAAAACCTCCACTTCTCAGCGCCAGAGGCCCTCGGGGGACACCTCACATTTGTACCAAAACATATGAGAAACCAAAAGAGAAGAGAGAATGCAAAAGAGAAATGCAATTGGCATCACCAAATTTATTACATTCCGGACTTAAGATTTATTCACACCAACAAAATAATCAGAACAAAATATACACTAATTTAAAAAACAGAAGATGATAGTGACATAAAGTATTCATTCTCTCTGATAAGTATGTGAAAGTATTTTGACTGCCTCTACATACATTTCTATTCTTAAAAGAATAGCAAACATTAAAATGCAGTGATGGCTTGAATTTCTTCTATGAAAAGAACACAGACAAATGCTAAAGCTTTTAGGCTACAAGGATATTACCATGAAGCAACAAGTTGAACGAATGCTTGAAAACATTAATTTCCAAAGCCACACACTTATACATTCACCTGCTATGTAAGCATTTCATATTTTTTCTCAATTCCCTCTATTGCATTTTTTTTTTTTCCTTCTGACCAAAAGCAAAGAAAGAACTTGCTCTTTCTTTTTATTTGGCCTCGGAAGAGGCGCTATCTAATTCCTGGGAAACGCGCACTTCCAGGCGTCCCTCTTCCTCCTTACTCTGGGGGTCTTCGTGGCTGGGGAACTCCTGGCTGGGAAGTTCCTGGCTGGCTTTGGCGCCTTCCTGACTGTCGACCACATCAGAGTGCTCGCCGCTGTTGTCCCGGGCCTTCCGCATGCGCTCTCGGGACTGCTCCTGGCTGTGGCTCTCCACACTCGGGACATCCAGCTGACTGGACTCATGGCTGTCCTTGCCATGGCTGTCCCAGTCGGAGGGCACATTCAGGCGCTGGGCAACGAGGACGGCCTTGTGTGCAGCGCTGGACTCCTGGCTCTCCACGTGTGAGGTGAGGTCCTCATCTGTAGCATCTGGGTCCTGAGTAAGATGCGAGGGGCATTACGTGAGCAACCAGCAATAGGGACGTTACGCTTCTCTCTGAATCTCTAGCTTTTAGGCCAAGCCGTACAGAACATTGTCTTAATTTGGCTGACCAAAAAAAAAAAAAAAAAAAAAAAAAAAAGCATCAGCAGGCGCAGTACTTTGTACTTTGCCGATCCTTTTCCTTTTCGTATAAGTTGTCCACTTTAGTATGTATATTACTTTTACATGTAATGAAAATTCTGAGATAGATATTATCTCTGAGTTTCATGAAGAAAAAATAAATTAAAAGTTAAAATGTAAAGTGGACAGAAAATGGCAAGCCTGGGCGGAACCCAGATCCTTTGCCTGGGTTTGTGGCTCTACAAATTCTCTTAAGTATTTGGCTTGAAAGTGTGATCCTTGTATTTAAGTATTTGGCTTGAAAGTGTGATCCTTGTATTTCACAAATAGCGGTTTTCTCAAATTGCTTTGCCTTTTGTCTGTAAAACTGTAAGTACAACAAATGCTTTAGAGTCAGGGCTTGAAAAATAGAATTCCGCTTGAGTGATAAAATTAGGAAGAAATTATGTGGATTTAACAAAAACAAGAGCCCTGTTTTGTGGTTAGTGGTCATAAAGTAGATTGCTAAGAAGTGCCTGCCTGGTTGCTGACTGGCTAGTGAGTATAAAAACTGTGTGTAGAATTAAGTTCTATGGGATTTACCTGCGCATCAGAAATGTGGAGCTTCTTAGACCTCGACCTCAGACTGTAAGCCAGACTGTCGCCGCGCCCATCGTATATTTCTACGGTGGGCACAATGGGACTGAAGGCAGGGGTTTCCGGACCCTCAGTGGGAGCCTCAGTGACCACTTCGTCAGATTCGTCAGAATGGTCAGACTCATCGGAATGGTGGTCAGGGTCATCTGTGTCAACGGAGTCCTCATCCCTGTCATCATCATCCTCGTCGTCCATGTGGTCGTGGCTCTCGTTGGAGTTACTTGGGAGGGTCTAGCAATCAGGATGCCGCAAATGAGTGTCTGGATTTTTATTTTCCCCTATCTTTTATGCTGCCTTAGGCTTTTACTATCTTTGTTTTGTTTAGTTTCAGAATCTTTGCAAGTATTTTCTAATTTTCTTTCACATAGGGATGAATGAAATAACACTCTGAACTATTCATGGTTTCAAATAAACATCATTTCCATATGTTTTCAAGTCAAATGTATGTGTATGAACATTCATACAAAATCATTGCTTTTCTTTGTACATACTAGAGGTCATTCAGTTTACTAAATTTAATGATATAACATAATGTAATAGATATAAGATCACAGATACATAATTGTGATATTGATTTTTCTATTTGAAATAAAAATCCTCCATGCAATGTGTTAATTATTGAAACTGTCCTACCAATTTGATTTGAAACAGTCTCATTGCTATTTGTTTATCAATAAAATTATGGGAAAAAAAATCCTCCAGATACCAGAACAGCCACATTTTATTGTGTGTTCCAAAACCTATAACCATGTCCCTATGTTATTATGAGTAAGCAATAGGTGCCTGTGCTACATGTGTGTACACACTGTAGTTCTAATCTTTTATTTGAAGTAACTAAGTTCCAGTAAACTTCAAGCTAGCAAACACAATGGGTGTTTATCTAATTTGCCCTTTTAGAGATACATAGTTAAATCTTAAAGAAAATAAATTTATCTCTTTGATCAATAATTAAGCATCCTAATAATACTTACTAAATTATTATGTTAGGAACAACAACACTTTAATGTCAAAATTTTGATCTTTGTATGACTAATTATACTCTTATAAGATTATTAGATGTTTTAAAAAATCTTACATGAATTGTAGAAGCCTAGTGTTTCAAATAACAGGCATCCGTAGACATTTACTACAACATTTAAGTTACCCAAATAATCCTTATAATTCTGAAATTTAGTAAGTACGTGTTTTCTTTCTGATCAAGTTTCATTTATTTATTTATTTTGCAGTACTGAGGATAGAACGTGGGATCTTACGCTTGCCAGGCAGGCACTTATGCCACTGAGATATCTCCCCAGCCCTCTGATCAAGATTTAGAGTGACAATTTGTAGGAATACTCGCTAATGGAATCTCATGAGAAGAGAGTCCATGTGCCGGCTTTCTCCCAGTCTCCCATGACGAGTCTTTGAATTAAAGTAAGAACGTACCTCTTGTTGCAAGCCATTGTCTTCTTCAGAGGACACGGAATTCTGGAAAAGGAATGACTCCATTAGTGCTCATCATACATGCTCAGATTTTGTTCAAAAGTGTGTTTTTTTAAATCCAAAATTGGTCTTATTTTTCATCTTCATTGGCGGACAGCTTAACAAGGGAAAAACCACAAGGATAGCCACACATTTACCAAGCAGTAGGAAGAATCCCCATGACCAGCTGGGATGGCCTGAGTGGTTCTATCACACAGTTGTTTCATTTTAAGAAGTCTGAAAGTACCTGTGGTACTATAATATTCTCCTTCAGGGACGGGTCAGTCTTTAACCATAAAGCCATAGCTTCTGGGAATTTGTTGTCGCGCTATAGAAAAAAAGTCACATATTTATCATCTTTAAGAAAAGAAACAGGGATCTCAAAGCTATAAACTGGAAAAACTGTATTTTGCCAACCCTTCTGCAGAAGCACCATATGTCAGAACTTTATCTTTTATCATGTATTTTCTCTTATAGTTTCACTTCCTGAAGTATTAATAGCACTTGCTGTAGACCAGGAATTCTATTGAGACATTTCACAAATATTAGTCGTATCCCTCAGTGGGACAGTTATCAGTACTTTCCCGTCTTACTGTTCAGGAAACACAGCCTTGGTGATCTTAATTGTTGACAGGTGACAGAGCTGGGGCTCAACCCTGGGTGCCATGGCTCTCTATTTAGTTCTCACACTGCTTCCTGTTCTACCCTTGCTGGCTGAACTTTCTTCTTAGTGAAGTACTCCTGAAACATCTTTTCCTCTCCACAGAACAAAGAGGAACTCGATGGCTGTGCTATCTAATATGGTACCCTTAGCCACGTGTAGCTATTTAAATGTAAGTTAATTAAAATTTTTAAAAATCAAATTCCCCAGCAGCAAAATTGTGAGTCCCCTTTTTCTACCTCAGTCTCACTGTCATGGCTTCAGGAGCCTCTTGAAAAACTCAAAGTATAATTAAAAAGCAAAATAAAGGATACATAGTAGGAAGTAGGCAGCTGGCTCTTTCTCAAAGGGCAGGGGGAGCAAGACAAAAAGGGAGTGGGAAAAGATGGGAGGGAGGGGATGAAGAAAGAATGACAATGAGTGAAGTTCAAGCACTGACTCTGCACTCAGAGACATTGTGCAAACACGAACTGACAAAAATACTAGAAAAATGCACCCTTGTCACCCTTTATTCCATTCAAAACAGAACTCGTTCTTGCTTCTGCTGGGGCCTCTATCTTCTCTGAGAATGTTACTCTTTCTGGCTTGTTATTATGAGTCAACACCTGTGTTCTAGATCAATTGGAGAACAGGCACATGCCCATGCCCACACCAGGGATGCACCGGTCACACATGCGCTCACAGAACACCTCTCTTGCTGTGTCATTTTAAGCAATCTCCCTGCCTCAACCCAGGCAGCGCTAGACTGGCCCTTATTCTGTGCCTCTGGGATTGAACTCTGTGTGCCTTTTTGTCTAAGCTGTAGGGACAAGGCCCATTTGTTGTGTGGCTGGCCCAGTTTCATCTATTGTGGAGGGGCAGGTACTTCTATGGTGCTGCTCGAATAATTGTAATAAAGAATTTGGCTTGGTCTTATGCTTGGTTAGGAAAATGTGACCTCGAGTCAGCTGACAAGCACAATAGATGCAAACAGCACAGATTTCTTTTCACAATGGGCTTCTTAGCAAGTATCTTAGGCGATATTGTGAGTGTTAGGGTCATGCAAGCGATTTGGATCAGCAGCTGAGGTGTATTTTAAACTCAGCTTTTCTCTACATTGGAAAAGTTTCTCTAAATTTACCTAAAATTTTTGCTTGAAATTGTCTGGGGCATAATTTTATTATATTAAAAGACCTAAAATGGGCTTGGTGATGCATAACTACTATCCCAGAACTCTGGGAGGCTGAGGCAGGAGGAATGCAAGTTTGAGCCCAGCCTGAGAAACTTAGCGACTTAGCAAGACCTTGTCTCAAAATAAACACAAGAGGTTTGGGGTTCTAGTTCAGTGTAAATGACCTAGATCTAATCCTTAGTAACACACACACACACACACACACACACACACACACAATTTGATTTTAAGAGAATATATTTATCAAAATATACTGTATTTAGAACTATCATAGATCTATAGCAGGGAGTCAATAACTACTTAGAAATTAACAGGGCTGATATGTGATAGATAATTAAATTTTTAATAAATTTTCATAGCACCTCTTGCAGTAGATGCAGAAATGATTTTAACAGTCTGGTGAACCTAAAAAGATGCTTACCAGGTGATCTTCAGAGCTGAAAGAATCAGCCTCCTTAACCTTGGAAACAGAAAACATGAAGAAAAATTATATTGTGAATGTGTCCCCTGTATACAAATCATTTATTTTCAAGAATTTTCTTTATAATTCAGCTGTACTCACTGGGAGGGAGTAGGCAATGCCTAAGAGGCAAAAGCAAATCCCAGCAATCCTCATGGTGGTGATTTTTCCTGAAAAATATTTGTGAGGAACCTTTGTCACCTTCAGAGGTTAAAACATGCCCTTCGCCTTTTGCAAATGCCTTGGCACAGAGAACCCTCAAATAACATGTTCTATGGAATCATTTCTGCTTCTCAGAAATTTTTTTAACATTTTTATATTTGATGTTAATATTTGTATTTCTACCCCTCCTTCTATCTTTGTTAGAAAAGGAGAGGGGAATTTTATTAAGTCTGAGTTTACTCTAAAATTTAGAGGACTCACTGTTATCTGATACCACCGGCTGTCCTAAAACAAGGCAACAGTGATTTTAATAACTAAAATAAACTTGTGTGAGAGGGTTCTTATTTTCCAGGGAAGAAAAACACATACTAAAAATCACACTATGAAAAAAAATTGTCTTCTTCTTTTTTCCAACATACATTTCAGACATGATTTTTACCTAAAATTAAGATGATGGCTCTTAGGGAAAATAAAGGTATCTTGAAAGTTATTTAAATAAGGTACTCTAGAAATTTGAAATGGAATAGAGAACACAGTCTGTAGCTTCCCTCCTTGTAATAAGGAGCCTGAGCATGTGTCACGCAGCCAGCTGGTTAACCTTTAAAGAGCTAACTCCAGAAATAAGATAGTTTATTCAGAAACAGCTTTCCCTCCTTAAACATGAGATAAATTATGACATTCAAAAAATAACATTATCATTGGCTTATTTTAGCACAAAAGATCCTTTCAATTGCCTCCACAATCATGCAGACATTGAAAATGATGCAGGAACAGTCATTTCAAAGAATTTTACCTTTTTCTGGTCAGAATCAGTAGTTTTAGTTCTTTAGGACCCAGTGGACATATTTTTAAGTTTTGCATTTGAGTGAGTTTCAAAATACCTAGAAACCTGCGATCCAGGAGAACTGCACTGCGTCCATCTGCTTACTCATGACTGTCGCAATCCAAGTCCACCTGCTCTACAGCGCGAGTTGTTTTCCTCACAGCTTGGACCTCCCCCAGAGGGCCAGCTGAGTGTGTCAGCCACAGGGCAGCACAGGGTGGGCTTACCTCTCTTGGCTTCCACGTGTCAGCCACAGGGCAGCGCAGGATGGGCTTACCTCTGCTGGCTTCTGGCGGAGAAGGCTGCGGCTGCCTAGGAGTCTTGTGCCAGAGGATGCTGAGCTCCTGCCTCCTCTTGCTGCTGCTGACAGACTGGGCCTGCGGAATTTAAATGCTGCTGCAGACGCCTCCACCAGCACAGGGAGGCGGGGACACAGTCATGAGGTTTCTGCCAGGCCCGGCCCACCTGATCCCACACTTCCCTCTCTGGTTTTGTGGTTGAAAAGAAAAAATAGCCCTGAATGCGCGCGCGTGCACACACACACACACACACACACACACACACTACAGTCAAAACATTCCTTATGTACAGTATCATTAACTAGTTTTTTCATGGATGAGGTGGTCACTCAGCATCCTTGAGGGACACTTAGGGTCTCCATAAGAAACAAGAAGAAATGAGCTTATTGTTCTCACTAAGATTTCAGTTGTATCCTCTGATTAGGAGACAATTGTTAATGCAAAGCAGCTCTAAACACAATTAATTAGGGTGGATTCTTTTCTGTCTAGGTTGACATCAAGGTCATGTCTGCAGCCACGTCCACGCCTAAGACTGCACGTATTGAGGACTCGAAGTCTATTGTGCAGGCGCACAACGAGTTGCCAAACCTCCCTCTCTCCTTGACTGCTCAATAGCTCAGTTCTGTGATACCAAGTCCGTGGCAGATTGCCGCTCAGACAAATGCACTAGTGACCTTGAGGCTCCTGTTCCTGCCTGTTCAGGAGGTGTTCCATGGGCCTTTCAAAGACCAGTATCTTCCTGATACTTTTTCAGCTGTTTAGAGGTGATGAATCATAGACTTACACATGTACATTGTTCAACTGTATACAGCAGGAGAATGATAGTTTACTTCAGATGCTGCAGAGGCAGAAAGCAGTTTCTAACTAAGAGCCAGAGGACTACTGGAGGGTGAAACTTCCAGAATCAGACCTTGGCTTTCAGCCCCACTGTCAAGAATGACCTACGTGAGTTTGGACAAATTGTGTAAACTGTCTGCACTTATTTGCTCATCTGTAAAACGCAGATACAATTGGCCAGCTCACAAGGTTGTCGAGAAGCTTAAGTGTCTTAGTATACTGGAAACAATATATACTTGGTACATGCATAATTAGGTCCAGTACCCTGAGTAGTTGAAAGCCTGTGCGTGTATGTTAACTGCTGTTGAAGTTTTTAGCAGGAGCAGAGATGATCGTGACTGGTTATATCTTTAAATAGCATAGGTTATTAGGAGAAGAGAGATGTAAGATCTTTAGATCATGTATATTAAAGAGTAATTCACACCTCCAAAGGAGCAGATGCTATTTTTGAATTGCTTTTATCTAGTTTCTCTCCAAGGATATAAAAACTACTCATTGAGAAAAAAGTTGATGCCTATAAAAGAAACCCTTGACTGAGTATTTAAGATATGTAAATGAGAGAAAATTTCAGAGGAAGTCTGAGTACTAGAGCAGAATTCAGGGGTTGCAAAGCTCTGGGTCTGTTTTAAATATTGAGTATTACCTTAAGACTACTTACCTGCTTCATTTACCTTTTTCGGTTATGAAATGGATATCACATTATTTATTTGCCTTATGCCTGCACTGTAAGACTTGTGTATGAATTAAGATTAGGGATAATTGGTCCTACTGCTATGCTAGTCCCGAGGTGTCAGTCCTATTTGCCAAATCCTGCTTTTAGTGTAAGTACAGAGTAAATGATTCCCTACATTATTAGTAGTATAATTAATCCATAGGTTTTATGAAACATTAAGTGGGAGGAACTTATTTCTTTTGAGTTACATGCATTCCAAATGAATTGATATTATTGATTTGCATGTTATTAGCACATAGTTTGTTAAATTTGAACCTACTTCTTTGAAATTTAAAACATGTAGATTTTAAAGTTTCAAAACTGACTTCTGTCTTTAAGGTCATTTTTTCCCCGTTTAAACACATTACCCACGTAAGCTCGTCATGCTTTTAATTGAGTGGAGAGAAGTCCAGGAAGTCTAAAAAAAAGGTTTCCATAGGCTTTCTGTTGTTTGCCCTGTGCCCACGGGAATGACTCAGTGCCGATCTAGAGTTTGGGAATAGACTGGAGCGCGTGGTCTTGAGAACTGTGACCCTCCCGGAACTCTTCTGGTCATAGCTCCGAAGTGCCACATGGTGGCAGCCTTTCTGAAAGAGATTTCAGACTGGCTCTAGGTATTTTCTGATTCCAGTAGGTTAGAACAGCCACAGATGTTAGGACAAAACTTCCCCGGGGCTATGGAGCCCTGCCTTTCTCGGAATTCCAGGTGAGGCAATATTTCTTAACAATGACCCACCACAGAGGGACAGAGACCCAAAGCATTCTTGTGCTGCTCTGTTCACACCCTCAGCAATCCCAGAGTGACACGATTGTCTGCTTCAAGGCATCCTGCACTCACCCAAGCGGTCGGGAACACTGAGGTCTCACGCAGAGTCAAACCTCAGCAGTTCAGGGTGGTTAAAGAATGTGTCTGGGACTCTTCAGAGTTGAGAAGATGAAGTGATTTGTAAGGGACGCGGTTCTGTCAAGTAAGGAAAGGACAATGTATCCTTCTGATCATGGAGGAGACTTGTGTTTCTTGTTTTTTTTGTACCAAAATATGCTGCTGACATCTTTTCTGAGTAAGATTTCTCAACTGTCAAAACCACGTGTTAAACAGCTTAAGCCAGAGGCTCTCTTGAGCTGCAGAATTTCTCCACTGTTCCCACTCCTCATCAGGCCAATGGTTGGGTGCTAAAAAGCCAGAATGCCCCAATTCCTTGGAAATCTCAAATTTGAAAACACTTTCGTTGTTTAACTGGAATGCAGGGAGTGATTTGTGATCTTAAAACAAATACTCAAGAGTCATATGGAAACATAAAAATAATATTCAAAATTCCATATAACAAAATTCATTTGCATTTTTAGGAAGGGTCTACAGGGTGTTTAGGGTCTCACTACTAGATCAGACTTGTAGTGATCTGCCTGTTTACAGCCTCCCAAGAGCTGGGGTTACAAGCGCGCACCACCACGCCCAGTTTCAATTGCCATCCCCCCAGGGGCGGGGCTGGCACGGGAGGCCCAGGGATCAAACGCCCGGCCCCTGTGCCTGCGTGCAGGGGCTTTAACCTGCTGAGCTATTTGGCTGACCCTGACTTCAAGTTTATTTGGACATTCCAAATTCTGTTCTACTTAGTAAGATGTAAGTATTTCAACATTTTCAGTTCTATAAATTATTATTGCTCAGAGTCAAGGCTCAGACGTGCCTTTGAGTACCTTGATGACACTGCCAATCCGACTAAGCTAACCAGAAGCTGCATGAGATATTTGTCACAGACAGCCCTGGGAAAGGTGTTACTTACTGGTCAGAGCAAGGCAGCAAAGGTGGAGGGCCAGAGGGACTGTGTCAAGTACAGTCATGAAATTAGAACATTTCAGAAATTCATAAAATAAATATTTTATCCCACTGCTCAACAATTCATACAACATTTAGCTCCTGAAACATTAACTCATTATTGGTAAGTTCCACGTAAGGGAAAAAAATTCATGTCAGAGACAAAAAACTGTTACTAAGTAAATAAGTAACAACTATTCCTCCTTTAGGAGTTGTGTGCCTGCAACTGGCTTGGCTGCTAATTGAGGAATTGTATACAATATGTACATTGTACGATTCAGAACAAAGGAAATTCCAACTCCATGACATTGTTTCTATTTTCATAACTCTTTCATACAGTACTGTAATGTATGACAGAACGTAAAGCTACAGTGCTGTACTGTATGGTACAAGCTACAACATTTCAACACTGTACAGACAAGGTGTTCTGTGGAAGAGAAAGACCTTGAGGCTCTATGAACAAGATGAACACTGTACAAAAAAGAATGATGGGTTGAAAGTCTGTATGGTGGGTCATAAGTCCAGTTGTTAAACAAGTAGGTTGTTAGGGGACAGCTGTACTCAATAAATTGTTTGTTACATACTTAGCTCTCCTCTAACAACAGTTCTGTGCATATAGTTTATGAGTACGACATGCAGAAGCTATGCTTGCATCTGTAATGATAGATTATGTGTTGATCTCTAACGTTTGCCATTACTCAAGATTCTATTCTTTCCTTTTTCTTTTTCTCTTTCTTTCCCCCCTTCCATTCTCCTTCTTATGCTGGGAATTGAGTCTAAGGCCTCCTGTATACATGAGGTATGCTTCCAGCTGTTAGCATTTGTTTAAAACTTAAAGCATAATGACTATTTCTGAGAGTATTCCAGCACTTTTAGTGAACTTAAATTACTAATTTTAAAAATGACACCATTCTTATTCTCAAATAATTCTTATGAAAAATCAGTTAAAAAATTTGAAACTTATGTAGGCAGTGAGGTTAAGCTTGTGGGTTGCTGGGCTAAGCAGAAAACTGTGGGTGTGGACAGAGACGACATGTGGCCGAGGCCCACAGTGTACACGCTGAACAGCAATATGGGAAGGGGCTCAGACTGGAAGTCCCCCTTCCACACAGAACCATCACAGCAGCATTGCACTCTACCCTTATAACAACCAGGGGAATAATAAAGGCCTATACTCTAATGAGCACTAAAGAGGGACGTAGAAGCTGCAGAAAAATAACAATAGAAAACATAGCATTTGCAGGCCAGATTTCTACAGAAAGAATACTTTATGGAAGTAAATTACAATGATAGGCATTTTGCAGAACATCTTTGAGGGAAAGGAAGCATTCTTTGAAATCAGTTGTAAGAATTGTTATTTTATTTATTTATTTTTTAAACATCTGCATTTTTTTTTTACACTGCATATATTCATCTTAGTGGTTAATTGCTGTACAAGATGCGGACTTGAGATCCTAATTACAAACACCATTAGAACAAATCATTCTATTCATTAAGAGAATGCAACTATATATCTATCC